CTTCTCTCACCTCTTGACCTCACTGACGGCCTTCTTGTTCTCAGAGCTCTAAACCAGAACGAGAGTGGCCTTTGGAAGGTTCCAAGGTCTACCTGGGAATCCGAAAGAAGTTAAAGCCTCCAACACCGTGAGTTTTCTCCACCAGCCCACATTTCTAGGGCCTGCCTGCCATCACCCCTCCAGCCTTTCTAATCACCCAGCTCTGTTCTCCTTTGCCTCCTAGGTGGGGCTTCACATTGATACTGGAGAAGATGCACCTGTGAGTACCTCTCGGCCTGGCTTCTCCTCTGGCCCAGCCCTGCACCCTATCCTCTACCTCCCTACTTTTTCTATCCACCATCCCTATAGCTACAACCCCTCCTCTCTGGCTAATTCCCCTCTGACCACTCCCAGCTACCTGTCCTGCACTGACGAGGATGAGATGTGGGACTGGACCACCAGCATCCTCAAAGCCCAGGTGAGGGGAAGGAAAAAGCCGAGGATGAGGTCAGAGGTCCCAGCTGTAGTCCCACGCCCACTGTGCGAACTCCTTACTCTCCCTCCAGCATGATGACCAGCAGCCAGTGGTCTTACGACGCCATTCCTCCTCAGACCTTGCCCGTCAGAAGTTTGGCACCATGCCTCTGCTGCCCATCAGAGGAGATGACAGTGGGGCCACCCTCCTCTCTGCCAATCAGACCCTGGTGAGGCTCCCCCCCGGCCTGCTGCTGTGCCCTCCTGAATCCTGCCCATGTCCTTGCCACCCTGCAGGTGGGAGCGGTGTGCCTGCCAGCCTGGTGCCCCCCTCTGCCTCCTCTGTGCCCCCACTCCCCACCCCTGCCTTCTGTTGCCAGGCCTCACTGTGTCTCTGTGTCTCTCCCTCCCCTCATCCCCATCCCACCTGTGCCCAGCGGCGACTTCACAACCGGAGGACCCTGTCCATGTTCTTTGTGAGTACTGTACCTGTGTCAGCTTTGTGCCCCTCAGCCCTGTGTTCCTCTGTGCTGCCTGAACCCATGTGCCCTCTGTCTTTGTTCTGCAGCAGGCCATCTGTGGGGTGTGCGTGTGTGTGTGTGTGTGTGTGTGTGTGTATGAGAGAGAGAGAGAGTATTGTGAGGGGCGAGAAGGAATGAGGAAAATGAGGCATGGTAGGATATGATAAGGAAAAGGGAAAGTGGTCATAGGATCTGAGATATAGAAGGCAAGTGGTTAAGTGAACGCATTTTGGAGTCAGATAGACCTGGGCTGAAGCCCCAGTTCTACCATTGACTCACTGTGTGATCTTGGGCAACTTACTTAACCCCTCTGCACCTCGCTTCACTCACCTGCAGTGTAACCCATCGTACAGAGTTATTTTGATATCATACATGAAAAGTATTTTACAGCATCTGGCCCAGAGGAAGAGCTCAATAAACGTTAGCGATTAGTAATCCAGTAACTCTAACTTTGTGCCTGCATCATGCTACCTACTCCCATCCAGCCAATGAAGTCATCCCAGGGGTCTGTGGAGGAGCAAGAGGAAGCAGAGGAGCCTGTCTATGAGGAGCCAGTGTATGAAGAAGTGGGGGCCTTCCCCGAGCTGACCAAGGACATCTCTACCTCCTTCTCCACAATAAGAGAAAAGACAGCCAACCCAGAGACCCCCCTCACCAGCCAGAGGTCCTTTGACAAACCCCTTTTTCCCAAGGCAGGTGGCCCGAGCCCAGAGGAGAGGCCACCTGAGCCCCCTCCTGGCCCTCCTTCAAAGAGCAGCCCCCAGGCACATGGGTCCCTGGAGGAGCAGCTGCTCCAGGAGCTTAGCAGCCTCATCCTGAGGAAGGGAGAAACCACCATAGGCCTGGGCAGCCCCTCCCAGCCCGCCAGCCCCCAGTCCCCAAACCCCAATGGCCTTCTGACACAGACACCTGGCTTTCCCACCCAAACTTCCAGTTCACCCTCCAGCCAGCCCCTCACATGACCCTAAGATGAGTAGTCTGAAGGGGGAGGTAACCAGAGGACCCAAGTTCTCACCATGGCAGACACTGCTGGGAGCCTCCTCCGCTCTGGCTGGAAAGACTCTAGAATCCAGTGTGGTGCTATGGAAAGAGCACAGGGCTGAGGGCTCTGGACTCTCTTGCCCAGAGGGGATCAGGTTATGGCCCCTCACTGAACCTCCACTCACTTATATGTACCATGAAGTCACTGAAATAAGGAGCCAGTGAAACACCAAACTGTGTCTTAGAGCTGTAAGCCCCACATAATTTCCCTCAACAAGAGTAACTCCTGCTTTATATATTTCATATGTAGGAGTTCTGTGAGAGATTTTGTGTTTGAAAGGAGTGGTTTTACTGCATTAAAGAAAAAAAAAAAGATTTGGAAGCCAGAGAGCTAAATGATCTCCAAGTCTATCCTATCCCACCTCCTACATTTGGGGACTACACTGAAGACCTAGAGTGTGGAGGTTGATTGGGGTTGGGAGCTGGGGCAAAGAGGGGCCAAAAAGGATGTGTCACTGTTAATAAATCTTGGAACCGAAAGCTATTACTGTTTCATTCATTTAACAAATATGTATTGAACACCTAATTAGGTCTCAGGTATTCAGGAGAAAGTTTGAACAAAATAGATGGGTCCCGGGGGACCTGGGTGGCTCAGTTGGTTAAGCCTTTGGCTCAAGTCATGATCTCAAGGTCCTGGGATTGAGCCCTGCAGCCCCATATTGGGCTCCTTGCTTCTCCCTCTCCCTCTGCCGCTCCCCCTGCTTGTGCTATCCCGTGCTCTCTCTGTCAAATAAACAAATAAAATTAAGAAAAAAATAGACGGGTCCTGCTTTTTTGGAGCTTCTACTGTAGAGAGGGAACAGAAGACAGAAAACACACAAATGAATTCAGTGCCATGAAGAAATCAAACCGAAATGATGTGCTTGTGGAGGTGGCCTTTAGGCTGGGAGGATGGGGAAGGCCTCTGTGAAGAGTTAAAGAAGCCAGGCATGTGGAGTGCTGGGAGAAGGCGCACTCCAGAAGAAGAGGGAAAGCCACAGGCATGAAGCCTCTGCAGTGGGAAGAGACTTGGCCTCTTGGGGAAACAGAAAGGAGGCTGGAGTGGCTGAAGCACAGTGAATGGGGAGCCAGAGAAGAGTATGGGCTGAAGGGGGAAAGACTGGCAGGGGCCAATAATGCACAGCCTTATAGGCCATGCTAGGGTGTTTGGATTTTATTCTGAAGCAATCGAGAAGTTTGAAGGGAGAGAGTGATGAGATCTTATTTACTTTTTTTAAAAAAACAAAAAAAATCTTTAAAAAAAGGGGGGGGGCGCCTGGGTGGCAGTCGTCAAGCATCTGCCTTCAGCTTGGGTCATGATCTCAGGGTCCTAGGATCGAGTCCCGCATCGGGCTCCCTGCTCAGCCAAGAGCCTGCTTCTCCCTCTGCCTGCTCTTGCGCTCTCACTTGCTCCCTCTCTCCCTCTCAAATGAATAAAAAAAAAAAATCTTAAAAAAACATCAATCACTCTGGCTGTTTTGTGAGCAGTGGGTTATGGGGGGAAGAGTGAGAGACCAGATATTAGACAGGAGACTGATACTGGGGCTTGGACTAGGTTGGTGGTTTTGGAAATTGAAGGAAGGTGATTAATATGAGACCTTTTAGAAATAGAACCTACAGGACTTGCTGATGGACAGAATGCGGGGTAGGAGAAAGGGCACAATGACTCTGGGTTTCAGACTTTCCTAACTGGATGGAGAGAGGTGCCATTTGGTATATTGTCTGGGGAAGATATCTGGGGAAGGATCAGGTAGATGGAGCGGTTTTAAAAGTTTGAGGTACCTGTTAGATCTACAAGTGGGTGTCAATGGGCCGTTGGAAAGGTGAATCTGTAGTTTGGGGCCACAGATAACTGCTTTTCTCCAAGTAAGGGGTGTGGACCAAGGATAGGTGAGGGGGATGAAGAAAGGGTGTGGGGATCCTCAGAAAGCAGTGATAGGGCTGGGGCACAGAGCCCGAAAGGCAGACCCTAATGGTGACAGGGGCTTCCTGGGACGCAAGGCCCTACACCCATCTCCCCACTTACATCCACTCACTAGTATCATTTAGTTTCCATTGGCCCATGACACACCTGTCTTCCTCTGGGACTGGTTTCCTCCTGGCTCCCGGTAATCTCAGCACCACTCACTGGCTTTTCCAGTTCTGTGGGAATTTGGGAAAGGTCTGAGACCAGCCCTGTTTCCCTTGTCAGAAGCATCTTTGCTCAGGCATCCAGTGACAAATTGGTCACAAATTGAGTTCCTCCTCGCCAAGCGTCACCCTTCGCGCTGGAGGGAGGACCGGACGACCAGAGATCTGCATATGTAAATGAGTGATTAGTAGTAATTACGGGCTGAGTCAGTGGCTCCACTAGAAATAGAACCCAGGCGTCTTGACTCAGAAACTTGGGGTTCCCCTACCGCGCAGCGGACGCCGCGTCCACTCGGCAGTCGGGACCCTTTCCGGGATATTCGCTGCACTAACAGGAGTTTCTTTGGTTTCTCAGCGGCACCTTAGCGCTTCGCAGCCCTGCGCGTAGCCGGACCAGGCGTGGGCGGGACGGGGGCGGAACCGGGCCCGGTCCGGGGCGGGGCTTTGGCGTGGGCGGGGCTTTCCCGAGTTCCGGAGTCGAGTGGCTTCCCTTGGCCGGAGTGGAGATGCAGCCGCCGCCCCGAAAAGTGAGCTTGGCCTGGGAATGGGGACTCCTGGTGGGCTGGGGGAATGGTGGGAGTTGAGGGGGGCATCGGACCCGCAGTGAGGGGCGAGGAGTTGTAAGGGTTCAGGGCCTAACCCTGAAATAACCCAGGAAACACCCCAGTCCCTCCCCGGTCCCGCCCCCTCACCGCTCCCTGCGCGGAGTGTTTTTCAGGTCCCGGCGCCAGGGGTCTTCAACCTCTTCTAACCCTCACAGGTGAAGCCGTCCCAGGAGGTGAAGCTTCGCTTCCTGGAGCAGCTGAGCATCCTTCAGACCCGGCAGCAGAGGGAGGCGGATCTGCTGGAGGACATCAGGTAGCTTCTGATCCCCGCCACATAACCCCCCCCCCCCTTCGCTGTTGCGCGCCCCGCCTCTCCTCGAACAGACGTTGGTGGGAGCCGGACCGGAGAGGGGAAAGCAGGGGGTGAAGAGTTCTCCAACCTGCCCATTCTCGGCCCTCACTGTCGGCCTGTCTCTCCAGATACCAGATAGGACTTAATCCTTCCTCCTAACCCAACACACAGAAACACACAGGGACCCTCTCTCAAACCCTTTGACTCCACACCACTCGCTCCGCCCCACAATCAAGCTTGGGGCAGAATCTCCCCTCCCTCTTCCAGACCTGTTGGAAGGCCGGAATGTATCCAGCCCCCCGTCCGTCCTCACCTCCAAGCCCAGAGACGGTTCTCCAGGGGTGGGGAGGATCCTGCCGAGGCTCTGAACAATGAGGTGAGGTTGTTCTGGGTTGCGGCTGCCTGAGGTGATCTCAAGGACTCTCTCTTCAGTCTCGTTCCATCCTCGTGTACTCACACTTTAGGCCTGGCTCCCCTCTTCTTCCTGCCCAGGCTGAGGAGAGGATTGAGGGTGGGAGAACAGGACTAGACAGTGACACCACCCTTCCCCTCTAATCTTCACAGGTCCTACAGCAAGCAGAGGGCAGCCATTGAACGGGAATATGGACAGGTATGGAACTCCTTTTTCTGGACTTTCCCTTTTGTTGTAGCCTCCTTTACACATAGCATTGTCTCTCTGCACATACTCCTCTTCTGGTCCAGAGCAGTGGCCTAGAATTAGGCAGATTGGTGTCAGATCTCTCGTGCTACTTGTTGACTGTGTGACCTTGGTCAAGGTGCTTGGCCTTTCTTGGCCTCAATTTCTTTCTCTGTAGAATGGAATAATAATCATACCTTCATGGAGGGTTGTTGTAAGGATGGAATAGGTTAATGCATGTAAATCACTTAGCAAAGTGAGTGGTACATAATACGCATCTGGTGAATGGCATTATTATACTCTGATTTCATATTCTCCCAGTTGGTGGGAGTCTTTGAAAGGTAACTGAGTCTGTGATGGCTTTCCCACCAGGCACTCCAGAAACTGGCTGGGCCATTCCTGAAGAGGGAAGGTCACCGGAGTGGGGAGATGGACAGCAGGTGGGTCCCATCGAGGGGGGAGTTCAGGGGGCCTAGAAGGGATGAGGAGCTCAACCTCAGGAATCTATGGGAGTGAAGGGCTAATGAAGGGGGAGGGCATGTGAGCTGCAGGTAGAGCTGACACAGCAGTCGGAGAGGAGCTGACCCAGCAAGGACACTGTGGGTGCAGGCGGAGGGCGTGAGTGATCCTTGTGGCTGAGCTAATGCACTGATCGATTGATAGGCTCCCAGACAAGGGGGATGGGAAAGCACTCTGTCTCCTATGGTGTTCGGTTTGGTGGTGGTGGTGGGGGCTCTCATGAAGCTTTGGAGTGCTCTCCTCCTCAACACAGACCTTCTCTGGGGAGAGGCAGGATGGTGTTTGGTGCCTGGCGCTGCCTGCTGGATGCCACCGTGGCTGGGGGCCAAGCCCGGCTTCAGGCATCCGACCGATACCGTGACCTGGCAGGGGGCACAGGGCGGAGTGCCAAGGAGCAGGTGCTCAGGAAGGTATGGCTCAGTGGATGGGCTGAAGGAAGGGCTGGCATGGGGTTGGAAGTGGTCTGGGTCAGGACTCTGTGTGTCCATGCCCCTAGGGAGCAGAGAACCTCCAGAGGGCGCAAGCTGAGGTGCTGCAGTCTATCCGGGAGCTGAGCCGAAGTCGGAAGCTGTATGGCCAGCGAGAACGTGTGTGGGCCTTGGCACAGGAGAAGGCGGCTGATGTCCAGGCTAGGTGGGTTCATGGGGAGTTGGGAAACCTGGCTGGGGAAAGGGAGCCAAGGCACCACAGCTGGGCCTGACCTTGACTCTTCTCCCTTTCCTGCACAGACTGAACCGAAGTGACCACGGGCTCTTTCACACTCGGACCAGTCTCCAGAAACTCAGCACCAAGGTTTGGGGGGATGTGGACATGAGTGGAGGTGGGAAAGAGGTGGGCAGAGTAGTCTAGTGGTTTGGAACCCAGGGGCATAAATCTGAGAGACTGGGATGAATCCAGGCTCCCCTACATCCTTGGTGTGTGCCCTTGGTTAACTTGATCTCTCAGAGTCTCGTGTTCTTCATCTGGAATGTGGAAATAGTACATTTATTTTTTATTCCTTTACTATGCATTTATTGAGGAGTCTGTGGAGTTCCTGCCTTCAGAGTCTGGTGAGGGGCAGACAGATAGTAAGTAAAGAAACAATCAGATTAAGTGATAACAAAACAAGGTGCTACGGTAAAGGGTAACAGGATGTAATTTAGAGAGAAAGGCTGTCTGAACACATGGCCTGAATATCAAGAAGGAGCCAGCCATGCAAAGATCTAGGGGAAGAACATTCCACGGAGAGGAAATGGTGAGGGCAGAGGGTCTGGGGTGGGAAGAGCTTGCGGGCTCGAGGACCGAAAGAAGGCCAGTGTGGCTGGAGCACTCTGAGCAAGGGGACAGGCACTGTGAAAAGAGGTCAGAGAGGTTGCAGGGGCCAGCTCTTGTTGCACCTGGCAAGCCACAGTAAGGAGCAGTGGGGAGTTTATTTTAAATAGACACAGATGCCACTCGAGCATTTTGAGCAGGAGTTGTTGAGTATGCAAAATTTTTAGTCTAGTGCCAGGCGCATAGTAAGCACTCAATAATGTGAGAATCCATTCTGGATCTGGATTGGCCTTGGAAGGACCCTGTGGTTCCAGGGCTCCCTGTTGACACCTGTTTTCTCCTCCTAGCTGTCTGCCCAGTCAGCCCAGTACTCCCAGCAGCTGAGAGCAGCCCGCAATGAGTACCTGCTCAACTTGGTGGCCACCAATGCCCACCTTGACCACTACTACCAGGAGGAATTGCCAGCCCTGCTCAAGGCCAGTCCCAGCCCAGATACCCCTGCCTCTCCTGCCTCTGCCTTGTGGGAGAGCCTCTCCTTGTTTCCTACCACTGTCAGGCTGGGTGGTGCTAGGGACCCAGCCTGCTTTGAGTAGGTAGAAGTTACATCCTTTGGTTCTGGTTTGGGTTCTGCTTCTAGCTGGCTGCATGACATTGTACAGGACACTTAGCCCCTCTGAACACTTAGTTGCCTCATTAGGGACAACTTCTGCTCTATCTAATTTGTAGGACTAGTGGGGCTCAGGGGAGAGAATGGATGTGAAAATGCTTTTTAAACTGTTAAGGTCTATGCATACGTGAGGGCCTATTATTAGAAGCAGTTAACTGTCTCATTCCTTCCCTCAATCCAATTCCTCATGCCTATCACCCATCTAAACCTGGGCAGAGAGCCTACTTTGCAGTAGAGGCTGGGGGCAGGGTGGTATCATTATCTTGGGGTTCTCTCCAGGCCCTGGTCAGTGAGCTGTTGGAACACTTGAGGGACCCCCTGACCTTGCTAAGCCGCACTGAGCTGGAAGCTGCAGAGATGGCCCTGGAGCATGCCCGCCGTGGAGGGCAGGCAACCTCCCAGGTGAGGGCTGTGCCCTATAAGAGCTCCCCAGAGATCCTCTTCAGCCTGCTCTTTCAGTACAGACCACCCACTGCATATCTGCCCCTTTTATTCTCACCCGTCCTTCTTCTTCCAAGAGGGGCTGGGGACAGGTTTGGAGTGGTAACCAGTGAGCGACTACTTCGACCTTTTCCAACCCCCAGGTAAGCTGGGAGCAGGATCTGAAGCTCTTTCTTCAGGAGCCTGGAGTATTTTCTCCCACACCACCTCAGGAGTTTCAGCCTGCAGGGGCTGATCAGGTGAGACTTCTCTGTTCATTGGAACCAAACTACATGTCGAGGGGACTGTGGTTTAGGCCTTCTCCCTCATCATCCTTGTTCTGGTTAATGGCTGTTCAGCTGTGGAGAAGGGGTTTCAGAACTCTAGTTCACCTCCCCCCCACCAGGACCCAAACAAACTTTATTCCACTTCTCTGGCCCTTCACTACATCATCCTCTTCTTTCTCCCTCAACCCAGATCCCATTTTGGGGACTTGCTGTGTGTCCACAGGAATGCACACCTGTGCCCTCACCTCTTTGTGCCTGTCCCTGGAGGTTAGGATGGAGTGAAGGAAAAAGGAAGGGACTGTAGAGCGGGGACAACAGCAGGCCCTGCTCTGAGCATCTGTGTACATTGTTCATTGAGGTGTGTGCCCTGGAGCTGGAGGAGGGCGCAGGAGGCGTGGCAGGGGACCGTGGCCTGGAGAAAGAGGTTCAGCGCTGGACGAGCCGAGCTGCCCGAGACTACAAGATCCAGAACCATGGGCATCGGGTGAGGTGGGGGGTGCAGGTGTTGTGGGTGGGCGGGAAGAGCTGAGAGCTGAGGACCCTGGAGCCAGTGGGGGATATCATAGGGCTGCAGGCAGGAAGGGAAGGAAAGGTATTTTAGGCCAAGAGTGTAGCACAGTAGTTAAGAGCACAGCTTTTGGAGCTAGACCCACCTGGGTTCAGATCCTGCTCTGTTCTTTCCTCGTTATGTAACCCCGAGTAAGGGAGTGACTTAACCTCTCTGGACTTCGGTTTCCTTATCATTAAAGTGGGGCCAATAATAGTATCCACTGCATGAGGAAGATTAAGTGACTTAATGCATGTGAAGCAAGTAGCGAAGTGCCAGGTCCATAGTCAGTTGTCCTGCAGAGGATTTCTACCCACCCCTGTTCTCCGCCTTTGCAACCAGGTGCTGCAGCGGCTGGAGCAGAGGCGACAGCAGGCTCCAGAGCGGGAGGCTCCAGGTATAGATCAGCGGCTACAGGAAGTGAGGGAGAGCATCCGGCGGGCACAGGTGAGGCATAGCCCTGTGCCTGGGACCCCTGAGATCCCACCTCCTCATGCAACACCCTCCTCCTCTCTATCTGCCTCGTGGGGAGCAGGGAGGCAGGAGGTAGAAGGTGGACATGTTTGGGGTGGTTCCCCTCACCGCCCAGAGGGTGGGCCCGTCCATAGCCTTGATTGATTTCTCTTCCCCATGGCAGGTGAGCCAGGTGAAGGGGGCTGCCCGGCTGGCCCTGCTACAAGGAGCTGGCCTCGATGTGCAGCGCTGGCTGAAGCCCGCCATGACCCAGGCCCAGGATGAGGTGGAGCAGGAGCGACGGCTCAGTGAGGCCCGGCTGTCCCAGAGGGACCTCTCTCCCACGGTGAGTGCCCTTTGCTCCCTACCCCTGTACACCCAGGACAGTAAAGGGTAGATCTCCCCAGAGGAGGGCAGACCCTATAAAATGGGGATCCCAATGGTACCAAAGTCGAAGAGGTTGTTGTGAGGCTGGAATGAAATATGTATATTTTTTTGCATAGTTTGTAACACAGAGTGTTCTCAGTGAACTTTTATCATGAATGTAGGATGACGATTATGAATTAAAGTTCCAAATATGGATTCTATGTGGTTCAAGTGCCGACCACTCCACTTACTATTAGCTGTGTGATCTTGCAAAGTGGCTTGACCTTTCTGAGCCTCGGTTTTCTCATAAGTAAAATGAGGTGGGGGCACCTGAGTCGCTCAGTCGGTCAGCATCTGACTCTTGGTTTTGACTCAGGTCATGATCTCAGGGTCGTGCAATCAAGCCCCACATCAGGCTCCATGCTCAGCACAGAGTCTGCTTGTTTCTCTTTCTCCAGTGTGTGCACACATGGATGTGCGTGCTGTTGCTCTCAATTAAATAAAATCTTTTTAAAACATTTTTAAAAAATAGGTAAAACAAGGTGATACACTTATGTAAAATTTCACTGGGTTATTGTGAAGATTAAGTGAGGTGCTATACATAAGATGTTTAGCGTCGTACCTGGCACAGAGTAAGCACTCAGTACTGTAATTCTGCGATTGTTGTTGGTGTTACCCTGCTCTGTGGTGATTTTGCTTGTGATATATGTTGGACAGATGGGTGGTACCACCTTGGGGAGTGATCTATTGGTGTTCTTTAAGGGTAGAATGGAGGTGTGGGAGATAAAATGGGTACTTGAGAGTGGGCCCCCCCCAATCATGTCTGTTCTCTATCTCCTCCAGGCTGAGGATGCTGAGCTCTCTGACTTTGAGGAATGTGAGGAGACAGGGGAGCTCTTTGAGGAGCCTGCCCCAGCAGCCTTGGCCACTAGGCCCCTCCCCTGCCCTGCACATGTGGTGTTCAGCTATCAGGTATCAGGTGGGCATGGGGGTGGGGACCTCAGAGAAGTGGGGATGGGCGACAGCCATGTCCTGAATCCTTCCTTGTGGGGCCCAGGCAGGGCATGAGGATGAGCTGACTATCACAGAGGGCGAGTGGCTGGAGGTCATAGAAGAGGGAGATGCTGATGAATGGGTCAAGGTGGGTATGGACCTTAGATTCTGACCTTGGTGGTGGGCAGGGGGCATGGCAATGGGAAGGACTTCTCTGTGGCTTGCAAGGACCCAGCCAGACAAAGCTAGAAGCCCAAGGAGGAGGGCTAGGGCCACGGGCTGCTGAGGCAAGTCTGCTATCTATTCACATTGCTGGGTGAACAGGCTCGAAACCAGCACGGCGAGGCAGGCTTTGTCCCTGAACGGTATCTCAACTTCCCGGACCTCTCCTTCCCTGAGAGTGGCCACGACAGCGACAATCCCTCAGGGGCAGAGCCCACAGGTAAGAATGGGAAATTCTGGGTCAGGGGACCTTGAGTAGTTGTGGCCCTGAGGTGTCATGGCCCCGGGGCACTACTGCCCATCAACTCCCCTCACCACCTCTCCTGGTCTTCTGCAGCCTTCCTGGCCCGTGCCCTATACAGCTACACAGGACAGAGTGCAGAGGAGCTGAGCTTCCCCGAGGGGGCGCTTATCCGCCTACTGCCCCGGGCCCAGGATGGAGTGGATGATGGCTTCTGGAGGGGAGAATTCGGGGGCCGTGTGGGGGTTTTCCCCTCCCTGCTAGTGGAGGAGCTGCTTGGCCCCCCAGGACCCCCTGAACTCTCAGACCCTGAACAGGTGAGGCTTCCTTCTCCCTGGGTCCCCAGGCTCCTCTAGGTTGAGCCTTCCACTCCAGTGAGGCCCCATATTCATCTTAATGCCCCCTTCCTTCTCCCAGTTTACCTCCTATATTGGCTTGGACCTCCCAATCTCCTTTCGCTGGGCAGAGAAGAGGGAAACTCAGGCAGTCTTCATAAGAGTGTGGTGGTCCTACTTTAGTGCTAGATAGATCTGAGTTCAGATTCGTATTGCATTGCCTTGGGCAGTGATATAACCTTGCGCTTGTTTCTTTACATGTAAAACAGGGGTAATAATACCAACTTCAGCAGCCCAACTGTCATGACTAGAGATATGGAGGTAAAGCCCTTAGCACAGTGACCCACGGGAGGTCCTTTAATATAATGGTACCTACCGTTACAGCAGGAAGAGCCTAGGAGAGGGAGTCAGGAGAGCTGGGTTCTAGTCGGGACTCTACCACTAAAAGACTCCATGCTTTTCAATAGATGGCTTAACCTGAGCCTCACCTCTATGAGAAATCATAAAAATCCCTACCTCATGGGATGCTGGTGAGGAATGAGTTAATGAGTGTATGTGAAGTGCTAACAGAATGTCTGGGACATAGTGTCAGTACATGTTGGCTATTGAAGTGTGTATCAGCTAAAGCCCCCACCTGGATGGAAGCATCTGGCCGCTCTCCAAATCAAGGAGCGAAGGGACAGGAATTGAAGGCAAGATGAGAGGAAAAGGTGGTGAAACCTTCCCACGTGCCAGGAATAACTCCATGTGCCCATCGTTCCCAGATGCTGCCATCCCCTTCTCCTCCTAGTTTCTCACCTCCTGTGCCCACCTCTGCCTTGGATGGAGCCCCTGCACCTGTGCTGCCTGTGGGTGAGTAGAGGGCCCTGGGGGCCCTGGGGGGCGGGAAGAGACGGGAAGGAGGAGAAAGGTGGCCCTTGGCTACTCTGCCTGCCCTCAGGAACCTCCTCCATCAGGCTCCCAGAAGCATGATGGTGAGAAGAGCTTGGGCTTTGGAGGGGAGGCAAGTGCGTTGTTGAGACTTTGCCTGTGACTTCTCAGTGTGTGGTTTAGGGCAGATGTTTAACCTGCCTGGGCCTTTATAGAGTGAGGAGAAAGGTCCCTACCTCACTGAGTTGTGAGAGTTAGAAAGATGGGCCTAGCTTTGTGCCTGGCACATAGTACACATGCCCCCAGTAGCTGTTTTCTCATGAAGATTATTTTACAAATCAGCCAGCTTTTCCCACTACGCCTCCTCTGCCTTCCATGTTCTTGAATCCTGCCAGCACCTTCGTTTGTGTCATCATTTTCCTTCTTGGAATGCCCGCCTTTTCTAAAACCTTCTGGTACTTCCACTTTCTTCGTGAAGCCTCCTTCCCTGATTCCAGAGGTCCCTGTGAGCATTTTCTGCAGCCCCCTGCCCCGGCACCTATACTTCACTTGGAATGATTGAGCACTCAGTCATTCATTGTGTTTGTTGGTTTTTCACTCTCAGGTTGCTAACAGCCATTGGGAGTGGGGGTGCTGTGAGTCCATCTCCCCCTCTCAGCAAGGTGCCAAGTAAGAGTGGAGGATGGATGGATTGATGGATTTTATGGCTCTAAGATTAGGGACTCTTCATTAATTCATCAAATATTTACCGAGTTCCACTGTCCTAAGTGCAGGAGATGCAGCAATGAACGAAACAAAGCCTGAAGACTGACTTGTGGTTCTTGTTTGCAGACCAAGACCTGGACTGCCCTGGACCCCTGGACATGATGGTACCTCGACTCAGGCCGGTAAGGGTCCCTCCCTTGGAGGAGATGGTGTCATTCCAACTTGTCCTGTTTTGTCTGCGGGGCTGAGGGAATGGACAGGGATATCCCCAAGGGAGGGTTCTGGAGTACTGACTCTGTGTTCTCTACAGATGCGTCCACCGCCTCCCCCACCAGCTAAAGCCCCGGATCCTGGCCACCCGGATTCTCTCACCTGAAGCCAGGAGGATTGCTGTCCCCCCAGTGATGCTGCTGTCCCTATTCCTATGATGTCAGAGACCACCCCCTCAATGATCTGGAGTGACACAGCCAAAAGCTGCAGTCTCCCCCATTTCCACTCTCACCTCCAGGGGTAGAAACTTTCCTTCTCCCCATTTCTGGGGCTGGAACTCACTGCTTTTCCCCCATCATACTTCTGCTATCTCTAGGGCTGGAACTACCCCTCTTTCTTCTGCCACTATCCCCTCTGTAGGGTGGTGAAATATTCTGAAATCTCTGGGGCTGGAACCCATCTTCCAAAGTCTTGAGTGGCTCCAGCCCATCTGTGTCTCCACCCTAGCTCTGTGACCCACCCTACTGGGTCTGTGACCCATGGCCACTGGGGTTGGGGGCTGGGACAAGGGCAGGCCTGTCAAAAGGAGCTGGAGCCAGTATGCAAAACAGCTGTAATGGTCTGAGCGGATTTATTGACAGTGAATAAAGGGCACTAAGCCCAAGCCAGGGCCTGGGCCTCTTGTGCCAAGAGGGCAGGGGGCCTAAGGTGCTATTGCTTTAGGGGCCCACCGAGGGCAGGGGCCTGCTCCCAGCTGCCACGCTCTAGCAAATGGAGCAAGGTGATGGGGAAGGGGTCAGGCAGCCTGTTGGCAGGCAGGGGAAGTGAAAGAGACTGAGGGATGGAGGTGGGGAGATTTCTCCCGCGGTCCCCCAGCCTGAAACCATGCAACTCCAGATGGAAGTAGAGCTGGTTCCTCAGCTGGGGGGCAGTGCTGTCCAGTGGAAAGGAGCGCCTTCATGCCCACCCACCCCCTGGCCCTGCCAGCTCGTAGTCCCAACAGCACAATGAAGAAGGAGCCTTGGAGGAGAGGAAGGGTAACAGTGTTGGTTCCTATTCAGGATGTGTCTCAGCTTTTCCCTGGGGGCTGCAGGACCTCCTTCCCTGTCTCCTGGAGCACATGCCCACTCCCCACCACTAAACCAAAGACTTTGTAGCAAAGGCCATCCCTGGGAGTACAGCGAGCTAATGGGCTTAGGTGGTGTACTTAGGGGGTGGGAGTGTAGGGGGTGGGAGAATGAGATTATCTGATTTGGGGCCCAAGCAGACTCACCTCACACACCCCCTGCTCCCCGTGGTGGGGACACCTGTGAGAGAGAAGTGGTCAACAATGGGTGACCAGGATGTGGGTCATAAGAGTGCCATCTCCCCCACCCCCAGGGTAGGAGGCAATAAGAGCTGAGCCCACTGTAGCCCTGACCATGCCTTCATACCTGGTGATCTGAGGTGTCCAGTTTGCTTGGCTGTCCAGTTCCCTCTCGACTGGCCAGTCCTGGGCTTGGGCCCTTCCCTCCAGCCCCTAGCATGGGCTCTGCAGAGGCTCTAGGGTTCCCCTCAAGTGCACAAGGGACTAGGCTGCCATCCCTGAGTCCTCCATTCTGTACTGGGGGACTGGCGAGGCCCAGGGGCTGTGGCCTCTCAGGGGGCACACTCTCAATGGCAGGTATCCCTGCCCTGGGCCCCCCCCCCAGACCCCTGACTACCCCCTGTGTCCTGCCCTCCACCAGACCCCCAGCTCCTGTCCGTGGGAGAGCCATCACGATGCTCATGTAGTCCACAGCGCTTCTCAATGTGTGTCACCCGGAACCTGGGAAGGGAGGGAACACTGGGTCTTACGACCACAACTTAGAGACTGCTTGGCTTCCCCTCAACCAGGGACATCCTGGGTTTCATGGCCACTTAGCCTCTGGCCTGGGGGGAGCGGGGGAGACTTCCCCAGATTATGGGGCACATTGTACAGCCTGACTTCTGCTGTAGCTCACAGTCTAGGAGAAGAGAGCTGGGGCCCACCTTTGGAGTCAGGCGCCTGATCACTGGGGCTCCCACCTCAAACTCCCTCTTTCTGGGGCTTTCTATCCCCACCTGCCCACAGAGAACACGGTGGTCTCTCCAGGCCGGGGGCGGCTCTTTCCTTCCTTCGAGCGTCCCTGGCGAACAAGTGGGGGCCTCTTGTTGCGGCTGCAGTGGATGCAAGGGGCTGCAGAGCCCAGATGCACTGTGTGATGATGGGAAGGAGCTCCATCTTGCAGGCTGGAGGTAACATCCACGCTGGACAATAGGGAAGAAGGGAGCAGGAGTGACATTACCATTTCCTTTCCTTTTCCATTTGCTCCCGTTCTTTCAGCTTCTTAAACCCCCAGATGCCCCACTTTCCCCAGGCCCCAGCATTCTTGTATTTATCTAATAAACACAGTATTGAGATTTTAGTCGTCATGTGTTCTTTTTCCCAGGGTTGTTTGCCAAAAAGAGGGCAATGTTTAACCCAAAGGAATGGCACAGGGATAAACGTCAGGCTTGATGATATCCAGATGGGAAGTATGGTTTGAAGGACTCAGATTTCTATAAAACTTCTTTCTTCATATAGGCTAGCCAGCTTTGCCTCCCCCCTGCCCCCAGACATGCGAGGACATTGGGAAAGGATTGTGCTGGAGGAGAGGGTACTCTCCAAGGCAAGCTAAGTCATGCTGGCCCTTGTTTCCAGCTCACCTGGACAGCTGCACTGTCCCTTCTCCTTCACTGTCCCCCAGCATCTCCTTCAAGGCCTCAGCATTGGCTGAGGGGAGAAGGAAAAGAGGGAGTCAGTGGAGGTGGAGGTCAGGGCAAGAGAAAGTTGAGCGGGGGCAGGGTGGGGGGGTGGGGAGAGCAAAGGGCCAGTCTACACCCACCTTCATTTTGGATGATGCAGCGAACAATCCTCTCTACGGTGTCCTCGTTCATGTCATCGTCCTCAGCTGAAGGATGAGAGGTTGGCAAGGAAGCAGGAAATGAGTCAGCTTTGGGTGGACATTACCTGGTGGCTTCTGTGGCTTACTGCTCAAGACCTATCCCTTTGTCTATTTGCCATCATGCTGGATGTTAGCATTTAGGGGTCAGGGCAGAAAAAATGGGAAAGTTAGTGGGAGCCCAAGACTACCAACAGTGGGCCCTTCCCACCCATGCTGTCTTTCCTAGGCTTGCTTTCAGGGTGGGGTCATCCCACTTGCTGACTCAAGAAAGTGTCATTAAGCCTCCTGAAGGCTTGGTCAGGATTTGGCCTCTTGGCCAGGAAGGCAGAAAGAGGTGTGGGGTGAAGGGTATGGGAGAAAGGTGACTGAGCCAGGTTCTAGGCTCCTCACTCACGGGGCTGGAGCTGGGCATCGTCAGGCTCTGAGCCCCTCGACGTGCGGCAGCGGTAGCCCTTCTTCTTGAGCACGTGGCAGATCATGAAGCCTACGAGGCCCATGAGGAAGAAGACCAGCACAAGCAGGAAGAGCATGTATAGCCCATGTTGGGGCGGCTCCAGGTCTGGCTGTGGTTCCGACATGAGGCCCTGGGGGGCGAGCGCGGGCCAGGGAGCCTCCTGGGGTTAGGGGGCTGCAGCTAGGGACTGGGGGAGGGATAGGAATTCGGTCCTCAGGACCCGAAACCGACGAGCCTCTGAGGTCCGGCCCCACCCCCTACCCAACCAAGGAGCTGTCCGTGCCAAGGGTGCTGGTCCGGGGCAGGGGTGCCAGACGGCGGCTGCGCAAGCCCTCTTCCACGACCCTGATCCTGCTTCCCCGACGCCCAGAGCGTTCCCCTTTCCAGCTTGTCCTGCGCTTCCGTCCCTCCCAAGGACACTGCAGAGCGAGATGGGACGGAATTCTCAGGCGGCCGGCTCAAGAATCGCGCCTGAGTCAGCGTCCGCACCTCCTCCGCGCCGGCCTGAGCCAGGCCTCTGCAACCCCCTCCCCTGCCTGTATGCCCGCACAACACCACCCCTTTAGGTTCCTCCCATCCTCACCACCTGGCCCACTCGGTACCGGTGGTTTGGTTCTGGCTCCGGCTCCGGCTCAGGTTCCGGCTCCAGGGACGTCCTAGTCCGGCTCAGGGCCCCCGACGCCCTCCCGGCGCTCATCCCTTGCTTCCTCCCCCTCCCCCCTTCGCCGCCTCACCGGCTCCGGGCTCCGGCTGCAGATACCGGTGCCGCGGCAGGCAGGGGGAGGGAAGGATGAAGAGGGATGCCGGCTAGTTGGGAGCGGCGGCTGGCTCCGTACAACTCTGGCTGTGGGAAGGGGAAGGAAATGGGGGTGGGGGGCGCCGCCGCAGACGCCCTAGGTTCCCAAATGCCTTCGCCAGTCGCCAGCCCGGGACCAGGGGGCGGAGCGCAGGTGTGCAGGGCGGAGAGCGAGAGCCTTGCGCGCTTGTGAGCGCAAGTGTGGGGCGCGCGTGACTGCGCCGCCCCCCCGCCCGGCCCCCCCGGGGGAGTGTGCGGCGCCGAGTCTGGGTCCGGGTGGGGAGGACAGGCAGTCAGAACAAAGTGCTCTCCACTGGTCTATCCCGCATGCTTGGCGCGGCTCCTGCCCTCAAGTGCTTCGGTCCGGTGGATAGCCAGGAACCTTCCCAGCAGGCCAGGGGAAGCTGGCTTTCCGCACCCGAGAGGGACGGCGTGGCGGTTCTCTGCAGTCTCCTAGACTGGTGACAACGCCTGCACCCCATTTGGGGCAGCTGGCTGGACGAGATATCTCGGATTCCCGAGGATTTGACCCTCGCCCGGAAAGAAATGACCCTCGCATCCTAGGACCATACTACCCGTCCTCCGCAGAGCCCAGAAGCTGAAGCTCGGGAACCCAGAAGGGCGAAGCCAAGCGAGGGGCGGAACTCCGCAGGGGGCGCGGTCGGGGAGGCGGGGCCTGGACTTCCCGGTTCCGCAGAGGCAGGCTGCGTCCTTACGCAGCACGTAGGAGCGGGGGTGGGGCAGGCGGCCGGGCAGGCGGCGGAGGCGCGGGGCCTGCTGCCGCCGGCACCATGGCCAAGACCGTGGCCTATTTCTACGACCCCGACGTGGGCAACTTCCACTACGGTGAGGGAGCAAGGTTGTACGCGAGGAGCTTCGGGACGCGGAGGTTTCGAGGCGGGGGCTATAACTCCGGCGTCGGGAACTGACGAACTCTCTTCTCCCACCCCCAGGGGCAGGGCACCCTATGAAGCCCCATCGCTTGGCATTGACCCATAGTTTGGTCCTTCACTACGGTCTCTATAAGAAGATGATCGTGAGTCTCGCGATCGCTGCTGGGTATTGAGGGTGCGGGCGAGCTGTGTGGTCCTAGGATAGGTGGGCTGCCCTGAATGCACCAAGTGCGACCCACCCTTGGGGTGGGGGGCAGGGTGGATGGAAGGAGCCAGGAACACCCGCCATATGCAGAATGTAGGTGGATGGATCCACCGGCCTGATGGGAGTTACTTTTTCACCTTAGGTCGGCCACCCTTTGACCTCAGGTAGACCAACCTCTGGCCTGTGGTTAGGGTGGAGTGGGGCTGGTTTGACGAGAGAAGGTGTTTTCCTCCCCAGCATCTTAGGATGTGGGCAGTGCTGTGGCTTCAGGAGAGAGGGGCTGGATCACTTTATCTGGATGTGGGTGTTCCCACCGCAGTTCTCACCCTTTCTTTGCCACCTCTCTCCACCTCCAAGGAGCTAGAGCTCCAGGGAGGATTGTGTAGCCCTGTGTGCAAATGTGTATGTGTGTGTGGAAGAGAGCGGGAGATGTCCTGGTATTTCCTTATCAACTTAGAATACCCCCCACAGGGTTCTACTTAATTGCTACTCAATCCTCCATCTCCCAGATATGCACATGGAGATAGACAATCCCCAACTTGGAATTTATAGTTGTGATAGGCGATTATAACAGTTAAGCTCAGCCCTCATGCGTCACAAGGGGAATTAGTCAACAATATGAATGAATGTTGTCCACTGTTTGTGCTGAGGCACCGACAGTGAATTAGCTTTAGAAAAGACTGAGGTGAGGTTAGTGCATGAATCTGAAGCCCTTGAAATTGTTTGCTGGTACATACCTGTGTGCATTTTCTGGGGAGAGAAGCTTTTTGTTCTTGCCCAATTTCTCAAGAAGTGTGTGAACCCCCCAAAAGATAATAAATCTCTGGCTTAGCACCTTGGCACCCCGGGGTTTTAATTAGAAGGTTGTCATATATCCCATATTATTTAACTCTAAAATTCAGGATTCATAGAAGAGAGAGGATGGAATCAGAGCCAGGGGGAGGAGATGAGTATGGATAGAATAAAAAAAGAGGAGATCCAGGGAACGGGGTAGGTGGATCAGGGCTCAAGGTTGAGAAGGTGGGGAAAGGTTGGGCTGGAGGTGGGAAGGAGTAGGCAAGTGCACTGTTCTTTCGGAGACTTGATCATAGTACCCCACCTGGCTAATCAGAGCCTCTCTTCTTCACTGACCTTTGCTTAATAGAATAACAAGGATTGGAGGGGTGAGGGGACTGCTGATGTGTGTGAATTTGGACAGTCCACCCGGCTGGGTTCAGTGTGGGCAGTCTCAGGCCGATGAATGGGACTGATCTCGCCTGGGTTCACCTTATGTTTCCATCCCGAGGTCTTCAAGCCGTACCAGGCCTCCCAGCATGACATGTGCCGCTTTCATTCTGAGGACTACATCGACTTCTTGCAGAGAGTCAGCCCCACCAATATGCAAGGCTTCACCAAGAGCCTTAATGCCTTCAACGTGGGCGATGACTGGTGAGGGGAGAACTGGGATTTTTAATGCCAGCCATATAGGAGAACACTTGAGTGAGGTCTTGTGGCAGCAGTGGGAACATATGAAGGGGGTCCTATTTGTCAGTGAATCATGATTTACTCATTTGTTTATTCAACAAGTATTGGTCATTTGCTCTAGGCCAGGCCCTGTGCTAAGTGCTGGCAATGCAATGATACATAACAACAAATTTTAATATTACAGTTGTGCTAAGTCCTGTGAAGGAGAGGTAGGTGGCTGGCTGTGAGTGTATATGCAGGAGAATTACCCATCTTGGGAGTGGGCTGGTCAGTAGAGGCTAGAGGATGTAATGGAGATTGAGGTGAGATCTGAAGAAAGAGTAGGAGATAATTAGGTGGAAGGTGGTTGGGAGGATGGGGGTGAGGGCAGGAATGTTGTGGAAATTAGATACAACATATGCTGAGGGTTTACGAGAGGTTGGTGTGTCACTCATTTGAGGAACAGAAAAAAGGTCATTCACTGAATATGAAAAGGAAAGTGATCTGAATCAAGGCTAAAGAGATGGGCAGGGCCTTTAAAAATTAAATAGCCCTATTTTGATTTGGGGTTCTTATCCCTAGAGTAGAGGGAAATTATCAAAGTGTTCTAAAAGCAAGAGAGTGATTTACATTGAGAGAGGTTTACATTGAGCTTTATCATATGAAGAAGACTCAGAGGCCCTGTGGGGAAGGGAAGATAACAAAGATAAACCAATATCCTTGCTTACATCCTCTCATATATTCATGAAAATGTAGTGATCATAACAGCTACCATTTACTCAACTTATTTTTAGACTTTTTTTAGGAAAATTTCAAATGTTTCTGAAAGAATAATACAGTGAATTCCCATATATCTGTCACCACCTGTAACACTTAGAGCAAATGGCCATTCTTACTTCATCTGCATCCCAGATTAGTGTTGTTGTTTTTTTTTTTTTAGGAGAGAGGTGGGGAGCAAGTGAGCAGGGGCGGGGTGGGGGTAGGCAGAGGAAGAGAGAGAATCTTAAGCAGGCTCCATGCCCAGCTCAGAGCCCAATAGGGACGTGGGCAGACACAGGACTTGATGCCAGCTGGATTTCACGACCCTGAAATCATGACCTGAGCCAAAATCAGGAGTCCAACTCTTAACTGACTGAGCCACCCAAGTGCCCCCGCATCCCAGGTTATTTTAAAGCAAATCTCAGATGTCACATTTTTTAACTGTAAATATTTTATTGTGTGTCTCTAAATGATACTCTTAAAAACATACATGCACACACTCAACATTGTCATTATCACACCTAAAAACTTGACAGTAATCCTTAATATCATCATATTTGCAATCAGTATTCAAATTTCTCCAACTGCGTCCTGATTTTTTCTTTTTTGCAGTTGATGTATTTAGGATGTAAACAAGGTCCATACATTGTATTTGGCTGATACATCTCTTAAGGTTTTTTTTTTTTTTTTAAGATTTTTTTTTTTATTTATTTGAGAGAGAGAGAGAATGAGAGATAGAGAGCATGAGAGGGAAGAGGGTCAGAGGGAGAAGCAGATTCCCCGCTGAGCAGGGAGCCTGATGCGGGACTCGATCCCGGGACTCGAGGATCATGACCTGAGCCGAAGGCAGTCGCTTAACCAACTGAGCCACCCAGGCGCCCCTCTCTTAAGGTTTTTAGTCTATAGTGTTTCCTTCTCTACCTTGAATTTCTTCCTTTTTTTTTTTTTTTAAGATTTTATTTATTTATTTTGAGAGACAGAGTGAGCGGGTGAGAGAGAGAACACAAGTGGAGGGAGGGGCAGAAGGAGAGGGAGAAGCAGACTCCCTGCTGAGCAGGGTGCCCAATGTGGGGCTCGATTCCCGGACCCTGGAATCATGACCTGAGCTGAAGGCAGACATTTAACTGAGCCACCCATGCGCCCCTCTACCTTGAATTTATTTCTTGAAGAAACCAAGCTATTGGTCCTATAGAGTTTCCTACAACAGCTACTATTTATTGCGTGCTTACTCTGTTCTGAGGTTTGCTGGTATACCCACTTCATTCTCACACCAACAGTGAGATGTAATAGTCCTTTGCCTTAATTTAGGCATAAGGAAACCAAAATTTGAGGAGATTTAGGTAACTAACCTGAGTTACAAAACTAATCAGTGGAAGTGGCAGGTTTCAGATCTAGAAACCTGGTTTTTAAACACTACACTGTTTCCCTGAAGATCCTACCAATAGAAGCACTCTGAGCTGGAAGATAGAAGGTTGGCATTGAGCACCTTTCCAGGCTTATCCCTAAACCCCTGCTTGCACAGGATACCTTCCTGGAATGCCCTTTGTTCCTCATTCAACCTCTCCAAGACCTTCCTGGCCTTCACACCACCTTCAAGCTTCACACCACTAAACCTTTCTTGACCACACCAGGCGCAGAGGTCTGTCCTGTACACACTGCCCTAGTCATTTGGTGTTTAGTTGCATGCTATCTTGGGAGGTTTGGTGTTTTGTTATTGCTGCTACTGTTAGGCACAGAGGTCTGTCCTGTACACACCGCCCTAGTCATTTGGTGTTTAGTTGCATGCTATCTTGGGAGATTTCTTGGTTTTTTGTTATTGCTGCTACTGTTGTTTCTGAGCTCACTTTACAGGTGTGGGAATGCAGAGTCCGCCGTCAGGCCCCAACTGGGGCTCTGTAACTGCTCTGTGCAGTTAGGGAATACTACCACTCGGCCCTTGGCACTGCATCAGTTGTGCTGTTAGACTTAAGCTACAATCATGCTTATCTGTGTATTTCAGCGGAGAATCAGGGATTTTCCCTTTTAATTAATTTCTGATTGTTTTCAAATTAATCTAATATAAAAAGCCCAGTTATACTGCAAGGCTTTTAATGGAAAAAAAAAACCCAACAGTCCCATATCTATGCCTCCCACTCAAATCCCTCTCCCCAGAGGCAGCAACTTTCAGCTCCTTTAGCTATTTTTTCTGGTATTTATTTTTGGGTTTCAAAGCAATGATCCCAACCTACTACTGTTACTAATAATCTATAATACTTAATGCCTACTCTGTGTCAGGTACTATTTTAAATGCTTCACAGGCATTAGGTCATTTAATCTCATCAATCTCTGTGAATCAGGGTCTCTTTACTGCCTCCTTTTCACAGATGAGGACACTTAGGCACAGAAACTATAAACAGTTTACCCAATCTCATGATCATTTGTAGGTGTTTTTTTGTTTGTTTGTTTGTTTGTTTTAAAGATTTTATTTATTTAACACAGAGAGAGCGAGGGCAGGAACACAAGCAGGGGCAGTGGGAGAGGGAGAAGCAGGCTTCCCGCGGAGCAGGGAGCCCAATGTGGGGCTCGATCCCAGGACCCTGGGATCATGACCTGAGCCGAGGGCAGATGCTTAACGACCGAGCCACCCAGGCACCCCAAAAATGTGTGACTCTTAAAGAATGTTATTGAACATTGTGTTAAAATATGATATGCATAAAAGAATCTTTAAAGAGAAACAAAGTTTATGTTCCCTTTCAAATTATTTCCTTTTTGGCATGTGTGATTAAGTACCTAGAAGCTGCCTACTTTTCTCCGCAACCAGGATACAAACTCCCTGACAGAGTTAAATGCTTTTTTACTTCCCATCCATTGCCTTACACAGGGCTTGGTACATGGTCCAAAATATTTGCTGAATAAATTTGCAGATAACTTAGGGGCTGGGAGAAGTTTTCTGAAGAATGGAGGCTGGAGGGGTTTGGAGTCGGGAGAGGTGTAGGAGGGCCTAGACAGAGGTAAAGGACTCTGACTCGCTTCTCTTCCTTGTAGCCCAGTGTTTCCCGGGCTCTTTGAGTTCTGTTCCCGTTACACAGGCGCATCTCTGCAAGGAGCAACCCAGCTGAATAACAAGGTGACCATGGCCCTGAGTCCTGTTCTCTCTTTCCTGCGGGTCCTTCCAACTCAAGGCCTTAACCCTGACCCTGAGCTTCCAGCTTTGGGGGTGAGCAAGGAGGACTGTGAGTTGGGTGTTTGTTTTTCAGATCTGTGATATTGCCATTAACTGGGCTGGTGGTCTGCACCATGCCAAGAAGTTTGAGGTGAGTGAGGAGGTGATGGGCGAGACAATGACTGCCTTAGTCTAGGTGGTTGGGATGACACCAGGGGGCAGCTGGGTAGAGGAATTGTTACTGTCATTGTAAGACCACTGTCTCACCATAGGCCTCTGGCTTCTGCTATGTCAATGACATTGTGATTGGCATCCTGGAGCTGCTCAAGTAAGTAGCCTGGGAGGAGATGGAGGGACTTATGAGACCCGTGGCTGAGGAGGTATCTCACACTGTGCTGGCCCTGACCCGTTCCTCCAACCCCCACACTAGCTTCTCCACAGTTCTTAATGCTTTACTCAGACTACCTCTCCCGTGCTCTGCTGCAGACTCCCTGCTGCCTGCTCACATTTCAGTCTTCTCTGCACATCCCTCTCCTGTCCCTGCCTCCAGGCTGGAGTCCCAGGGTTGCCCGTAGGGAACTGGTGGTATTAGGTTTCAGGTGACTTGGGCTTAAGTAGACTCTTCATAATTCCAAACCTTGTTTTGGGAGGAGTGGGTTGGGGGTTTTCTTGTGGGGGTTCCACTCTACCTCAGACCCTGGCTTGGCTCTCATCCCAGGTACCACCCTCGGGTGCTCTACATTGATATTGACATCCACCATGGTGATGGAGTTCAGGAAGCCTTCTACCTCACTGACCGGGTGATGACAGTCTCCTTCCACAAATATGGAAACTACTTCTTTCCTGGCACAGGTATGGGAATAGGGATAATCATCCTCTTCACACCCTCGGCTCTTTCCTGTGACAGCCTCCTGCTCAGCCTTCAGATCTTGGCTCAGGTGGCTTCTCCTCAGAGAGGTGTATCCTGACCACCGCAGTTAAGGTGATCCCTCCTTCCCCGTTTCTCTGTCATGTCACTGTGCTTGCCTCTCTCAGAGCACTCACTGCTGTTTGAATTTTGTTTTGTTTACTGTCTCCCTCATCATGCCCACCGCCCAAGAATATAAGCTTGGTGGGATTTCATTCATTTCGTTAGTTCCATCTATTGCTGTATCCCCAGTGCCTAGTGCAGAGGTTGGCTCATAGTAGGCCCTCAAAAATTATCTGTTGAATGAATGCAAGCCACAAGAGACTAAGTGTCTCTAGGGAATGTGTGGTGGAGGTACATAGATGTAGTGAGAGGCCCTCAGTGTATGGATTGAAATTGAAGCAGCTGGATTTGGGTGCCCCCTGTGTATAGCTCCTAACCCCTACTCTCCACTTGCCTATAGGTGATATGTATGAAGTTGGAGCAGAGAGTGGCCGCTACTACTGTCTCAATGTGCCCTTGCGGGATGGCATTGATGACCAGAGTAAGTATTGAGGTCATTTCCCTGCTTACTAGGCCCCTTCTTCCTCTCCTTGAATTAACCTCTTCTGCCTGGTATTGTTTACTGTTGGGCCAGGTGTCCTTAAGGAAGAATGGCCTTCAGAGGGACCATGAACCCCCCGGAAATTGTATGCAACATATCATGTGTATGTGCATTTTTCTGGGGAAAGGGTCATTAGCTTTCATCAGTCACTCAAAGTGGTCTGGGACCCCATCCAGCTGTTCAGAACCAATGATTTGGTTCTTGGGGTTGCCCCCTTTCCTGGGCTACATGCTCTCTCAACCCCTTTTTTCTTTTGTTCCCTGTCTCCCCATCCCCTTGGGGTGCCAGGTGCCCATCTTTGGCCCTCTCCCAGGTTACAAGCACCTTTTCCAGCCGGTTATCAACCAGGTGGTGGACTTCTACCAACCCACGTGCATTGTGCTCCAGGTAATACTGCCAGTGCCTCCTCAAGAGGGCTCTGCCTGGGCTTAGGGGAAGAGATCCGGGAGGGGGATAGCCCCTGCGTTTATTGGGGAACGGAAGTGAAGGACATCTGAGACGTTCTGATCAGTTATCTCACTGCAGCTGCCTGGGGTTTTGCTTTTTGCAGTGTGGAGCTGACTCCCTGGGCTGTGATCGTTTGGGCTGCTTCAACCTCAGCATTCGAGGACATGGGTGAGACCTGCCCTCCTTCTCTGCCCCTAGGTTTTCAAGTGGCTTTGGGCCTCAGTACATGGAGTGGGGGTAGTTGGGGAAAGGGCCATAGGAAGAGGAGAGAGAGAGTCACTCCCAAGCAGCGAGAAGGGCCCATGCAGAGGCACTGAGACAGGGAAGAGCTGGTGTTGCCAGCGAGGAGATGAAGTCAAAGTGGTGAGCCGACAACATGGGGAGCAAGCTGGAGATGGTTTGACGTGAGGCCTAAGAAGTTGGCCATGGTGAGGTCATGCAGAGCCATTAGACCCTGGTGAGAAGTCTGGATTGTATTTCAAATATGATGGGAAACTGCTGGAAGATTTTAAACAGGGAAGGGACATGATCCAATTGATGTTTTAAAGCGATTGCTCTGTCTGCTGAATGGAGGAAGGTTTGGGTTGGGGGTCGGGACAGGCGTGGGAGTGGGACGGCCAGTTAGGAAGCTGTTGGTGTTGTCCAGAGGCAGATGTGGTGCCTGGGCTTAGGTGGAGGTGGTGGCCAATGAGAAGTAGGTGATTGGAGTTATATTGTGGAGGCTGGAGCTGACCGCACTTGCTGGTGCTTTGATGAGAATAGTTGATTAGCAGATGAGGTGCCAGGGTGAGTGTTGAGCTGGAGAGAGGTGGGAATGCCCTTTATGTTTCAATTTTTACTGAGACACAACGTATAGACAATAAAGTACACATAGCTCAAGAGTATAACTCAGTGAATTTCACTACCTTTTCTAGTTCCCTTGTGCTCTTTCTAGGCAATACCTAGAGACATATACTTTGGCTTTTGATTATTTCCTCCAGCCATTCCTCTGGTTCCTTTTAACAGGGAATGTGTCGAATATGTCAAGAGCTTCAATATCCCTCTACTGGTGCTAGGTGGTGGTGGCTATACTGTTCGAAATGTTGCCCGCTGCTGGTGAGCATGCTCCCTGATTTTCCTCCTCCCTCTTGTCCAGTGTGAGTTGGTGAGCTGGGGGCTCCCTGAGAGATGGCCAGGTGAGCCCTTCAGCCCACTTGCTCAGCCTAGCCCACTCTGCTGTTTGGTTTCAGGACATATGAAACATCACTGCTGGTAGAAGAAGCCATTAGTGAGGAGCTTCCCTATAGTGGTAAGGACCACTCCCTGCTACCCCACAGCAGGAGACATTCTCAGAAGACCCCAGAATGGCCTGATTTGTTTTTTGTTTGTTTTTTAAAGATTTTATTTACTTATTTGAAAGAGAGCACAGGTGGGGGGTGAGGAGGGACAGAGGAAGAGGGAGAAGCAGACTCCCCGCTGAGCAGGAAGCCCAGTGTGGGACTTGATCCCAGGACCCTGAGATCATGACCTGAGCTGAAGGCAGATGCTCAACGGACTGAGCCACCCAGGCGCCCCCAGAATGGCCTGATTTGAAGGCAGATGGAAATTTAAAAAAATTTTTTTTTTTTATTACAGATGGGAAATTTGACACTCCAGGAGCTCTGCAGACTAAATCGCTGAGTTCAGAGCAGGGAAAAGATTAGACAGCTATTATGCAGGGGTTTGGGATGGGAAGGAAATCGATTGGGAAGTCTTGGGACCTGCCTGTCTCTGTCTGAGCCATGTCTTCTCTTCTAATTTCCCTTTCCCTGCTTAGAATACTTTGAGTACTTTGCCCCGGACTTCACGCTCCATCCAGATGTCAGTACCCGCATCGAGAATCAGAACTCACGCCAGGTCAGCAGCTTGGAGAAGTTGAACATAAGGGTGGGGAGGGCCTAGGAGAGGTTCAGGATATGGGAAATTGGAGAAACCAGAGAAGAGAAAAAAGTTCTCAGCTATCACTATCACTGTTATCAGCTAGGA